GCGCTATTACACTTATTTGTCAAAGAAACCATAATTTCGTGAAGTAAGAAAATAACATACAAACATATGTCCTTAGATTGAGGAGCTTTCGGAAACAAAAGTGTATTTGTTTATGTTTGAACATACACATCGTCATGAAGCTATGGAAGGCTTGCCATTTGCAACGTTAAAAAAGTAACTAATGATTTTTATAAATATAACTATATTTACTTTACAAACAAACAAAAACCAATAACGATTTATATTTTTTCTTCAAATTTTATATTTGAATAATTTCTAATTTCTTTTATTGGTGTGTGTATCTCGTCCTTATGAATTATCTTTAAACCCCAATGAATAGTTACTAGTGACAATCCACATGATTAACGCAGGGGATTATTGTTTATGTTAGTTATTTCATTATTTGGCTCATTCTCGGGAAACAGATAAATATGTTTTCGATATCAGTTTCAGTTAAAAAGTCAAGTCCAAAGTTTCGGCTTGCACAATGCTTTGTGGAACTTTGAGGGAATGTCCTTAAAACTAGTTTGATCACATGGACGACGTAATACCAATAATTCAGTACCCGGTTTCTATAAAGTAACTCAAGATTTAAAGTGAAGAATTATAAACTTTTTTTTTTCAATTTAGTAAGTAGTACAGTATTAACTTTCATTCAAAACTAACTATTATCCATTGTATTTATACTTTTAGATGTATAAAAATTAGATTTAAAAATGAAATATTAACTTTGCTAAAACCACAATAATTGGTAGGCTATAGCGTGTTAGAATGTTCACACAATTTTTACCCTGTTTGCAAAATAGGTTAAGCCCATTTAACCCTCGTTACACTCCTAATAATCTATATATTTCACAATTATAGTTTAACTAGAGACCATATTAGTTTTTTTATAAATGGTAGACTACACAAATTATGTTAGATTTGTCCACATCACCATTTATGTTAATACAATGTACTTTCTCAATTGTAGTGGTTGGTGTAAATTAAATATATACACCTAATCTTATATTCTTCAAGGCCGATCAAGGAGTTAGTAACCCCTTTATTTTTTACGTCCAGGAGTTATATTCATGAAGAAATTCTAGGTTTTAAAGGCCTGGTCAAATTCTAGATTGGTTATGAACTCGTATCAAGATCAAGATCAATGAATAACTTTTTTTTTTTTTTTTTTGGGCAACAAGATCAAAGAATAACTATAACCAAAATATAATAATAAAAAGGTGGTTAGATAGTGTGTAAGGTTATTATACGGTGCTTATGGCTGAAACTGTTAAATTTTTGTAGTATAGTATGTAGTGTCGAATATTAAATTCGTGTAACTAAAAATGTTCAAAAGTCATATAAAAGAAAGTCAGTCACGCATGCTAATTTTCCAAAATTCATACATAAAATTAAAGAATCATTTTAGCTTATTTGTCTAAGACTACATAATAAATTCTTACAGAAAACAAAAAATGAAAATATTAAGAACCAACTTATCCTAGTCATCCCTCAAACACGAGATTGTTGCCTTGCTGAGTCACTTTTAAAATCATCCTCTCGAACAAATTTCGTGTTGTATGTCTTTTTCTAAGATAAAAGAAGAGAAACATAAAAATTTAATGACACAACTTTATCGTGAAAACAGTTGAAGCATCACCTGAAAAAGTGGAGTAATAGTCTGATTAAAAGGCATAAGGTAATATTATGTAACTACACATCAGGATTCCTCTTTGGACGAACCTAACCCTTAATAATTGCTCGTAGTTGTGGCAGCGCAAGGCCTTCTAGTCAAAGCAATGTCTTATTATTATTTATAGAAATATAACTCTCACTTAAAAAGTAAATATCATAGACGATTTCTCAATGTCTTTATTTTTTTTTATTTTTTTTTATGTATATGAAGCTAGATTGGTTTGCACTAAAAAAATTAAAAAAACTAGATTGGTTTTTCTCTAACATAAACGTTTTTGTATTGTTTTCTAAGCTTTTTCGAAAACTTGTTTAAGAGTAATAAAGAGAAATTTTTGTAATTTTTAAAGTTTCAAATCGCTCTAAATCAATAGAGAAGTCTAGCTTTCTTTTCATGTTTTTTTTTCTGAATAACCAAGAAGTTTTAACTTTTAATTGAATCTCTGATTTTTTCACATAAGAGACCACTCCATGTTAATAAGTCAACATTATATATGTCGGTACTTAAACCAGTGACATTAAATACTTCCTCAACATTGGATTTTTCTCATTATGGGTACTGAAAATTAGTAGTCAATTCAAAATTCTAAAGCAATATGTAATTGTTGTTATATAAAGAATCTTAATTATTTTAATTAGTAGAACAAGTACTACGGATAATAAGATTATTTTGGTAATAGAATATCATAAAAGAAAAATACTCAAATCCATACAAAAATTACACAACATAATGCTCAAAATGATAATATAGTATGGGGTGCAACTGGCAATATCCGATCCATGGATCTGGCAACTTGGTCTTTGCACTCATGCATGTTAAGATAAATATCTAAAGAAGTGAGAATTTAGTCTATTTATTTTGAAATATATCTCTTCTTAAAGGAGATTGAAGTACTAGATGCATAATAGAACCAATTCCAAGTGCTAATAACACACCCTTACTTCTTTGTTGTCACATTCGAGAAGGGGATCTGAATCCTATTCAATTACTCTCATATTCTAACTTACAATATTACTCATATCAGCTACTACCCTTCCATATGTTTGTTGTCTCTGTAAGTAATGGGATATATCTCTCCTAAACACATATCATTGTTAAAAAGCATATTAGATTGTGTCCTGCCTTAGTATAGAAACTAAGCCACTTCTCTCATCAAACATGTCTTTTCCTAATTCAAGCCTTGAAATATTATGAAAAGTTACCACACCAGTATTCTTATAACAATGTACTCTGTTTTGATGATTCTATTAACACCTATGAATAAACGGCATTTTATATAAAGACGATTTATTATGTCTAAGATGGAAAATTTCACCACATAGCTATCACCAAATTCCAATGATACTAGCCTCTCATAGTGAACATTAATGGTTTTAGGATTTGCATGCAATTACATGGGAGTGTCTTTTTCTGTTTAAATCATGCCTATCAATATATAATTCCGTACCTAAAAATTAAAATTGTTAAAGCTTTTATATTCCTAAATCTATCATTTGACTAATTTAACTTAATTTCACACGTGTTAGTGATAGAAACATAGTAGCTTTATGATTTGTTGTGGTCGGTCGCGTTACAACTTACAACTGAAATTAAAGATAATATGGTTTGATTATATAGGAAAAAAACATATTTCCTCTCTTTTATAATATAAGTCGTTTTAGCTAAAAACACGCATATTAAAAATATCTACTTTTAAAAAATTCAGTCAATCACAAAAGAAACTGCATAACATAAATAATTATAAAATATTAAAGGAATATATAATTTGCATCGAAACTTGAAAACGACTTATATTGTGAAACCAAAAAATTTACCCAAAACAACTTATATTATGATACAGAGAAAGTACATGTTAAATTGAGTATATGCGCTAAATGATCATATATTAATTTTAAAGTGATGCAGTAGTAATAAATTTATAAATACGTGATATAGGTATGACACCACAGCATGAAATTTCCGTTTTAAACATATAACATGTTATTTTACATGATTGAGTATAAATCACACATAAAATTACTTTTCACTTATTTGTGCAAATCAATAATCTAAATATAACCAGAGGTCAATATCTGGACTAAAAAATATCATGAGATAATGCAAAAGGTTCTATAATCGAATGACACAAGTTACGAATAAATTATCAAAAACTAACTTAAATCTAAAAAAATGTACGGATTTCAGCACAAAACCTCTTAATTATTAAACAAGAAAAATGATTTAAACATATGATTGAACAAATCACTCGGTTAAATTATCTTAAATTTTACGCACTGACCAAGTGTCAATAACTATATTAGCAAAGACTCTTAGGCAAAGCCTAGAGAACGCTAATTCAAATGACACTTGAAGACCATATAAAATTGCATTGGCCGTTTAAAAGTTAGAAAAGTATGTTAATGGTATATAGTTAGAAGTTTACCTTATTTGATTACATTTCTCCAAAACCTGTTAATTTTCTTCTTAAATGTGAACCAATACAAAAATGCAATGTTAACGTTCCTTCAGCGGGCACGTAACTTCTTAAGATTTATGATTCGTTTCTCAATTACATATCCATTAAATATACTGCTTAATTCAATAGATATGAATTGAAATATATACTGCATAATTGAGAGAATAAGATTTCATAAAATTGAAGAAATCCCAATAAAAAAAAGAAAGAAGTTAAAGTGAATTCATAAGGTTGACAAAATGAATTCTAGAAAGTTGACCTAAAATAAGTAAATTGTTATAAAAAAGCAGCAAAAACCAAAATCCCACAAATGGTAAAAAGTTAAATAAAAACCTCATGGTCCTCATGAAATCGTTAATCATTATAAAATGGTATCATTAGGATAATAAATTCATTAGAAATCTATAGCTCTCTCTCCTTTCTCTTCCCATTGGGCAGGCACAGATTCTGAAATAACAAAACCCAGAAACTGAACAACCAAAATCTCCTCTCTTGTTTTTTACCAGAATTTCATTAACTGAAAAAAATAGAATCTCACAAAGACACAAAACAAATGTTACTGAGGTTGTTGTTTCTTTCTTTTATTTCCTTTTAACCTTTATTTTTTTTTGGTGAATTCCTTTTAACCTTTATTACTCTCTATAGAAAAAATCTAAAAAATTAATCAACAAAAGGAAAAATATCTCACAAATAAATAAAATTAAATCAAATAAAGTAAAAACAAAATTATCACCATTTATATTCCTCCTCGTTTATCCTTCTCTTCCTCGTCTCCCTTAAACCACATTTCTCCTTCTGGCTCTCTCTCTTCCTAAGTTTTCTCTCTCTTTAGCACTATAGAGAGAGAAAAGCCTCCATTTTTCTCAAGCCAATCTCTCTCTCTCTCCCTCATTCCATAAACCCATTACACAAAAACCCGCCATTGTTACACTCTAAGAGAAGAGAGAAGGAAAAATGGAAGGTGTATCACCAAAGTTTGTGTTGCCGGAGACATTCGACGGCGTGAGGATGGAGATCACAGGACAACTAGGCATGATCTGGGAGCTTGTAAAAGCACCAGTTATTGTCCCTCTTCTTCAATTAGCTGTTTACATCTGTTTGCTTATGTCTGTCATGCTTTTATGTGAGAGGGTTTACATGGGAATCGTCATCGTCCTTGTCAAACTCTTCTGGAAAAAACCAGACAAACGTTACAAATTCGAGCCCATTCATGACGATGAAGAGCTTGGTAGCTCCAATTTCCCAGTCGTCCTCGTACAAATCCCCATGTTCAACGAACGAGAGGTCTGTCTCTATCTCTGTTTTCCTCTGTTTTTTGCTCTGTTTCTCCTTAAAGTTTAAGTTTTTCGAGAAAGTAAACTCAGATTTTACGGAAAATAACTTTTCCCCACGTATTCATATTCCTCCGCCGTTCCAAATCCCGAAACGGCGATAATCGTGACGCATATTTCTTAATTATTCTCTGAGATTTTGGGTTTTTCTGTATAAACCTATAGTTTAGGGGTTAACTCGTTATAAATCACTAAATTAGTGGACTAAAAGTGAAAAAGTTTGACAAAGAGATTTCTTTTGCTTCCCCGTGATTTTTGCCGTGCAGGTTTATAAGCTATCAATAGGAGCGGCGTGTGGACTCTCTTGGCCGTCCGATCGTCTCGTGATTCAAGTGTTAGATGACTCAACAGATCCTACTGTTAAGGTAATTATTATTATTATTTTTTGCTTAGTCCATTTACAAAAATATAGGTGCATTATTTTCCACAACTTTCTCTAATTAAATAGAGATTTTTTACCATTTTTTCAAGAGATATTTTCCTTTCTTGAAAAGAGATGTAATATTTTCCGGTGGGTAGGAAAGAAAAGGGGAAATATTAATAAATTTGGAATATTAATAGATAATTTTTTTGATGTGTGATTTAAATGAGATACTTGAAATGTGCAGCAAATGGTGGAAATGGAGTGCCAAAGATGGGCAAGTAAAGGAATCAATATTAGGTATCAAATAAGAGAAAATAGAGTTGGTTACAAAGCCGGTGCTTTAAAGGAAGGACTCAAACGTAGTTATGTCAAACATTGCGAGTATGTTGTCATCTTCGACGCCGATTTTCAGCCCGAACCGGATTTTCTTCGCCGTAGCATTCCTTTTCTCATGCACAATCCCAACATTGCCTTGGTTCAGGCCCGATGGCGGTTCGGTAATCATTTCGCTTATCATTTATTTCAATCCAATTTCAATATAGCAAAATTGGTAGTAGAGTATCTTAAATTTGATAGTAATTGAAATAGCTTGTTAATTGATCAATAAGAGTGGTTGTTGTGATAGAAAAATGACATTTGATAATGTTGATAATGTTGTGAAGTGTCAGGGTCAAATACTACTGAATCGGTGTCTTTGTTTATGTTTTATGAAAATTTAATGTTGTTTAGATCATTTAATGAGAGCTCGTGGTTTTGGTTTTTGTTAGCTACATTAGTGGTGTCGGTGGTATATGCCCTTCACTGTTTTTTTTTTTTTAATATTATTTTATCGCCTTTTCCTTTTTCTTGCACACTTTTTTTTTCCTTATTATCAACCTTTATTTTTTAGCTTTTTGAAATGGTCTTTTTCTTCAACTTTGTATTTTCCTTCCATATAAAATTATTATTATTACCTCTATATATTGTCTGATTGAAGAAGTAGGGTTAGTTCTGTTTGTGTCGGCGGAGTAGCTGCACTAGTGTAGTGGGTCTATTTAACCAACTAAAATAAGCCACGTGTAAAAACCGTTGTCCTTAGTTTTACATTAGAGTTAGGTACACCTTAACGCACTGGATTAAAACTAACTCTTCTCTCTGAAACTCACCGGGTCGGATTAGTTGCGCAATTCCGGGTCAACGGATAATTCTGCTGACGTCATGTCACGTTTCTTATCTGCTCCGGAATTACGGATCCGTCGGTCAATAAAAATCGAATCGGTTTAAACCCGGTTTAATTGAATCGGGTTCGGGTTTGTTAACTGGTCGTCTTTAGAAATTGTCGGGTCTCTGATACATTCCACGTGCTCTTTGCCTTTCTTTAAATGCTAAGTGTGAGACCCATCTTGTCAGTATTAGTAAAAGTATTGTTAGCCTACAGTAGAAGTATCTAGTCTACTGTGGACCTGCGTTTCTCTTGCCGACACTTGGTAGTGTATACTATATAGTTTCTTTTATATGTATTTAATATTTTTAAGCATGAGAAAGCTATATGAATATGATTGTTTTATTAAAGCTAAAAACAAAAGAGAAGGACGTTACTTCCTGATAGTGCCACATTTGGACGATTCTTTAATAAACAATTTAAGATCTATATAGACCTTTGTTTGTTCTATTAAATTGTATCTTTTATTTACCGTATGATTTTTTTTGGGACTAATGTTTTAATCTTGTTTTATACTTTTGCAGTAAATTCTGATGAGTGCTTATTGACAAGGATGCAAGAAATGTCGTTGGATTACCATTTCACTGTTGAGCAAGAAGTCGGTTCATCGACACATGCTTTTTTCGGCTTCAACGGTAAAAAATGATTAATTTATAGTAATGATTACTAAAAACATCATTTAATTTTCATAACCTAGAAATTTTAGGTGTTTTGCTAGTAAATATTGTTGCCTATTGATGTGGTTAGAGTTTAGGGTATGTTGTCCGACCAATTGAAGCATAGTATGTGGACCCAAAACTTTTTTTTGTTTTTTTTGTTTTATGATAGTGTACAACTGTTACTAGAAAACTGAAGAATAAAATAATCATAAGGAATCATAATAATTTATAAATAATCAATCATTAATTGATAGGAGTGGGGAATCTGAAATGTGAAGCAAGTAGCTACTTAAATAGTTATAGTCATTCCTTGTCTTATAAGTTAGATTTGCAAGCTTGAAGAATCTAATTTAATTGGTTTTGTTTAAATCATGTGTTCAATTTAATTAGTAGCTAGTGTAAGGGGACACATTCATTACATTAGGACTTGTAGAGGAAGCAAATGGAAGGCGGATCTTAAATGTGTTTTTGTCATAGATAATTTATGGAAAATTTTAATTAATGTAGATATAAATACTAAAGGTTTTTTTTATGTATTGTAATAAATACTATAGGAACCGCCGGAATCTGGAGAATAGCGGCGATAAATGAAGCCGGCGGGTGGAAAGATAGAACCACCGTGGAAGATATGGATCTCGCCGTCCGAGCTAGTCTTCGCGGCTGGAAATTTCTCTACCTCGGTGACCTTCAGGTTTTTATTTATTTTTTGATATTTTTCTATAAATACAATAATTAGATAGTTAGAACAAATTATTGTATAGTTAGAATAAATTAAACACACATAACAAAAAGTAGTTGGTACACAAGATACTTCTCTCATCACAAGTTATGTTATAATCATTTTACCTTTTTAAGAAGTAAAGATATTTTCTTATTACTTGTAGAAAAATTGGTATACGTCATAAATATGAGTCTTTCTTTTTCTTTCTTTGTATTACAGGTGAAAAGTGAGCTTCCAAGTACTTTTAGAGCCTTCCGTTTTCAGCAACATAGATGGTCTTGTGGACCTGCAAATCTCTTTAGGAAAATGGTTATGGAGATCATAAGAAACAAGGTAATAAAAATTAAAAAATTTACACTTTTTTCTTCTGATTACTCAAATTTTTTAATCTGATCCTGTTACTGTTATGGCGCAGAAAGTGAGATTCTGGAAGAAAGTGTATGTGATCTACAGCTTCTTCTTTGTGAGGAAGATCATTGCACATTGGGTCACATTTTGTTTCTACTGCGTTGTTCTTCCTCTTACCATTCTCGTCCCCGAAGTTAAAGTTCCGATTTGGGGTTCCGTTTATATCCCTTCCATCATCACTATCCTCAACTCAGTCGGTACTCCAAGGTAAGTTGTGTTCCTTGTATCTCAAGTTATTACCTTTGTTTCTTCCTTATTGGGTTGCTTATATGTCAAGTAACTGCGTTTAATCTTTTTATTTCTGGTTTTGTTAAAAGGTCGATTCATCTGCTGTTCTATTGGATTCTATTCGAGAATGTGATGTCGCTACACCGGACAAAGGCTACTCTCATTGGTCTGTTTGAGGCAGGAAGGGCTAACGAATGGGTCGTGACTGCTAAGCTTGGAAGCGGTCAGAGTGCTAAAGGAAACACAAAAGGGCTCAAAAGGTTCCCAAGAATCTTCAAATTGCCTGATCGGTATGTCTACTTTCTATATCGAAAATGTGTATTATTATTAGAAACTAGGGATATACACTAAATGATACTATTTGTGTCAGATTGAATACATTGGAGCTTGGATTCGCGGCGTTCTTGTTCGTGTGTGGATGCTATGACTTTGTGCACGGGAAGAACAATTACTTCATCTACTTGTTTCTTCAGACAATGTCTTTCTTCATCAGTGGGCTTGGCTGGATCGGGACTTATGTCCCGAGTTAGTAGAGTTGTGTTCTGGTAACATGTTACAGGGAGAAAAGAGAAGGTTATTAATTTTCTGGAGAAATAAAGACAATTTTAAATGACAAAGGAAAATTGATAGTGGAGATAGAGACGTACCGGTAACAAGTAGGAAGAAAGGAGACTTTTATCAAAGACAAGGAAAGAGGAGAAACTCCGAAGTGTTCTTATGATTTATTTTCAATTTTTCTGTGTTTTATTTACAAATATTTAGCTATGGGATTTATTTGTGATTCAGTTATTGTGAGACTTCAATTTTTGTTCTTTCTTTTTCTTTTCTTGGTTTTTGGTTTTTTTTTTTTAAGTGTTAGTTTTTTTTTTCTTTTGTTTTTTATGATTTAGAATTCAAGATTCTGCTTGAGCTACAAGTGTTTAGATTGATGCAAGGGTTCAAAATCCCTAGTTGTCATCAACAGTGTATCCATTTTATAGTAATTGATTTACAGTCAGTGAATGTATTTACCACATTTTGTACCCGCACATCACGGTCACCATTTGCCAACAAATTCGACTCCACATTGTTCACAAAACTTTGGGTCTTCTTTTTCATCTCCAATCACTTGATAATTTCCACAAGCGCAAATTCCACTCTTTTATATGTTTGATCGATAACTTTTTACCACCGCGATAAAAGATATACCGTTTTAATAAGTTATAGTAATAATTAGCGGTATTGAAACCAATATTTCCATCGTTTTTATATCTTTATTTTTTACTGGTATTGCGTCTCTATGTTAGTATTTTTGTTGTTGCTTTCTGTTTACGTTAAAAAAAAACTGTTTTGTGTTACCAATCGAAACTCATTAGAAGATAATTCAAAAACTTCTAAAGATTAGAATTTCCAAGCAAAAATTTAAAATAGAAAACTAACGATTATACCAAAAAACTTTTAATTTTTTTTATTTATTTTTATTTTGTATGATCTAAGGTATGCAATTTTTCATAGTTGTATTTGTATAGACTATAGAGTAAAGAGTCTTATAAGTATGTTTAATTTATACATTTTTTTTCTTTCACAAGTTTAAATTCTTCAGACAATTTCACATCTCTAATTTACGGTTTAAGTTAAAACCGATTATTAACCGGAAAATGATAGCAAATATTTAATTAATCTGACCCTTGGAATACATCAACCTCTCTGGACTGTGTCTTCGTCTCCCGTCAGATCTTCCGAAACACAAAACCCTAAACTCTCGTCAGGTGACTTCATCTTCTTCGCTACTTTCCGATTTTAGAGGCCTTCCTAGTTTGAATAGGTCTGTGGAAAAATCGAGATTTGTGTCTGAATTCGTGCTAAATGCGTCCTTGTTATACTTAGTATTCGAGATTGTATCTGTGGAATCTTCGGTTCAATTTCGCAAGCAAATCTGATGGATATGCTAAAAATGGACGAAGAATTTTTGAAATTTTTGAAAGCGAAATACCGCGAACGGCCGCCTTTAACTTACTTAATTACTGGAGAGGATCTGATAAGCAAATTACCTGATTCTTTGATAACTCAGATACTCTTGTATCTTCCGACCAAGGACATTGTTAGGACTAGTGTTTTGTCCAAGAGGTGGAAAAGTCTGTGGCTTTTGATTCCCCGGTTGGATTTGGACTCCAAAGAGTTCCCAGATTACAATGCCTTGGTGAGTTTTATGGATAGGTTTATAGATTTCTCTAGGGAACAGAAGTCATTCTTGCACAAGCTCAAGCTAAGTATTCGGAAGAATGTGAATGATCCGCCTTCTGTCACGCGGTGGATAGACTTTGTGGTTAGGCGTAAACTTAAACATCTTGATGTTGAGTGTCTTGTGAATCGTAAGTTTTTAGAGGAGATGCCTTTAAGTCTTTATGTTTGTGATACACTGGTATACCTAAGACTCCATCGGGTATCGTTGGGTAAGTTTGAGTCTGTATCTTTAGTTTTACCATGTCTCAAGACTATGCGTTTAGAAGAAAATGTTTACGCCGATGATGCAAGTCTAGAGTCATTTATCTCGTCTTGCCCAGTTCTTGAAGATTTGAGCATTCTTAGAATGGTAGAAGACAACATAAAGGTCCTACGAGTGCACTCTCTGACATTAACCAGTCTTGATATAGACTTTTATTTTGGTGAGAATGATGACATGGTTGATGATTTTGATACAAAACACTCAGAGGTTTTGATTGATGCCCCTCGACTCAAGTATTTGAAATTCCAAGATGATCTATCGGAGAGTAAAGTCATAACCAATTCGGGCTCCTTAGCCAAGGTCAATATTGTGTATGTCTTCAATGAGAATGATTGTGCTGATGTTGTTGACTTACCAAGGCGAAATATGGTCCGTAATTTTTTAATCAGTATCTCGGGAGTTAGAGATATGAAGATCTCTGGGCATTTTGTGGAGGTATTTATACATACTTACATACACACATTGTATTTGTATCTAGTGTTGATTCATGAAGTTTTTGCTCACTTTCATTCTTATTTGGTGAGCAGTTTCTCTATTGTAACATGGACTTTGACCCACTGCCCCAGTTTCGCAACCTTTCCCGTTTAATAGCCAAGTTTTCTTTATATTTTGTGGAAATTCTGCCAACTCTTCTCGAGAGCTGTCCCAATCTAAAATCACTCGTCTTGGTGTTGGTGATGACTTGCACAACCCTTAAGCTTTTACTCAAAATACTTTGAGGAATGTGTTATCTTATATTCATTCCTGTTTGTTTGGAATGTTGTGTTTATGTAGGAATTTGATCCGTCGAAGGAGGATGTGCAAATAAAATTCTCATCCGTACCTCGGTGTTTGGTATCGTCACTCGAGTCTGTAGAGATAAAATATTTCAACGGAAAGCCTGCTAAAATGGAAGTAGCAAGGTACTTTTTAGAAAACTCAGGAGTTCTCCAAAAACTTGTTCTGCATTTGAGGTGTTCCACGCTAGGAGAAGGATTTTGCATCTTAAGGGATCTCCTTGCATTGCCCAGAGGATCTAGCACATGTCGAATCGTCGTTAGTTGACGGCTTGAAAGGTTTTAGGTAGGTCTATGATCAGATTAAGAGTAGTGTTCCCAGCTGGTTACTTAAGTTGTACTTGGATTTTTATTTGTTGCTTATGATGTCTTTATTAGCTTTTGGCTACTAGTTCTGGTTCTGGATATGTTTGATTTTGCATTATTAATTTAAACTCAAAAGTTCAAAGCCTCTAAGTGGGCTGGGCAGGCCCAATTAAAAAAGAAATATTTACCTCATTTTGTTCTAAAAACTTTCCAAATCCGAACCTCTGAAGGGTATCAAACTATCAATAGCTCCGGTGCTACATTCTTCGGCGACAAATCGACGGTGAGCTCTTCTATTCAGAATACCACGAAACCCTAATCGACGAAGTGATTCTGTTGTCAACTTAATTTCAGTCAGTTTCTCTGGCTTAGCATTTTTCTAATCTGCTCCAGTTTTGAATGTATTCATGTTCATTTTACTCTGTTACAATGTCGCATATGCATAGATATGTCTATTTATGTTTAAATTGTGAATTTTGTAGATCTTGTGCGTGTGTCTGAAAGTGAAGCAAACAATGAGCGAGAGAGGAGTAGTAAGAGGTCGTAGTAGAACTGGAGAAGATAGGATAAGTTTGTTACCGGATCATATGCTGTGTCAGATATTCTCTGATCTTCCTACAAAGATTGCTGTTAGGACTAGTGTTTTGTCCAAGATTACCGGATCATATGCTGTGTCAGATATTCTCTGGCTTTCGTATCCTATGTTGGATTTGAAGATTTCAGATTTCCGTTCGTTACCATGATTTTTTGAGCTTTATGAACAGGTTCTTAGACTACTCTAAGGAACTATGCATACAGAAGTCAAACTTTCGTGATAAATCACCGTGATCCATCTTACATGACGCGGTGGATCCACAATGCGATTATGCGTAAAGTTCAACACTTGGATCGAGAAGTTTCGCAATAAGCAATTTGAGTTCATCTGCCAAGGTAGATATTGATGTCGATTTTGATGTTTTTTACAATCATTCTGCTGGAAATGTCTCCTCAAAGAGAAGTGCAGTGAGAAAATTCCTCATCGGTCTCCCAAACGTAAGGGATATGACTATAAGTGGAAAAACTTTGAAGGTATATATTTGACGGTCTTTTTGGATGTCAATGGAGTATATAAACATTCAAACGTCTCTCTGGATAAAAATTTTAGTCTTTTCTTTGTGTTTTCAGATTAATTTGTCTCTACTTGAACCAAGAACTGCTGCCTCAGTTTCCTCAAATCCTTGGTTTTGGTGATGATTTAGCTTAAACTTTACCTTATTGCTAACTCACATTATCATGATTAAGATAACTACCTTACTTACTTACTTCTTGAATGATTTATATGCAGGAGCTGATGGAATACAAGAATGAACAAATGATGCTCTCATCATCAGTTCCAGAATGTTTAATATCGTCCATGGAGTATGTCGAGATGAAAATACCGATAAACCAAGCTGGAGCGGAAATGAAACTAGTAAAGTATTTCCTCGAGAATTCGGCAGTGCTCAAGAAGTTTATGCTGCGATTGGGTTGTAGCGAAATGGACGAAGAGTCTGTCATCTTCATGGACCTGTTGAAATTTAGGAGATGCTCTTCTTCTTGTGAAGTAGTTGTTGAAAGTGTAGAAGCTTATCCAACTATGATACACAGGTTTTTGTAACACTTCAGTTTGCAGTTTCCCTTTTAGTATAGTCTGGTATTGTGATTTTATGTATATTCTTACCCGAACCGGTTAATTTTTTATTCATTACGTTTCATTTTTTAATTTTCACAAATCCTCTTCAGTTAACTACCATCTCTAGTTTAGATTTTTATCTTATCTTTCCATCTAAAGCCATTTAAAAGAAGGGTTTCTTAAGCAGAGAGAATCTAAAGGCTCTTTGAAGCGAATCTGTGGGGGCGGCGATATTTGGTTTCTTCGGCAGCGAAGAATCGTCGGTAATTTTGTATTTCTATTTCTCTCTAATGTTCCTCTTTTGAGCATTGGTATGTCCGATAAATAGCGGAATAGCTGAATCATGCAATAATGGTATCTATATGGAGACCATGGATCATCTTTTTATAACGGT